ACAGGGGGGTTGGTGGGAGTTCAGAGAGGAGCCGGAGGATTACACGGTTACTGTACGGCCTGATTAAAGCACAGGAACACCTTCATCATCCCAAAGAAGCTCTTCATCACAGACAGAGATGGCAGAAGTACACACATCCTTTACTCAAGTAGAAGTACAGATACTCGTGTTTAAAAATACTCTGGTGAAAGTAGAACTAAACTTCTTTACTCAAGTAAAAGTAAAGAGGGCTTTGAAATGTACTTCAGTAAAAAGTACCCATAACTAGCAGCTGTTTTAAAGAGTACCTGACCTCCCTTTATATTAATAGAACAATAATGTCATTGTTAGCTAATGAATGTTTCCATGCTGAACAACGGCAACATGACAACGTTTTCATTGGTCCCTCTTCTTTAGAGAAGACCAGGAAATGATGGATACACGGATCGTGTTCAAATCAATAGGCACGCAATGACTCTAAATAATAATGATCACGCCACCAAACACACATTCAAACTAAAGGAACCAGCCTGTTTGGAAAATGTGAGAAGTAGAAAGTACAGGTATTTGGGTTCAACATGTGAGAAGTAGAAAGTACAGGTATTTGGGTTCAACATGTGAGAAGTAGAAAGTACAGGTATTTGGGTTCAACATGTAAGAAGTAGAAAGTACAGGTATTTGTGTTCAACATGTAAGAAGTAGAAAGTACAGGTATTTGGGTTCAACATGTGAGAAGTAGAAAGTACAGGTATTTGTGTTCAACATGTAAGAAGTAGAAAGTACAGGTATTTGTGTTCAACATGTAAGAAGTAGAAAGTACAGGTATTTGGGTTCTACATGTAAGAAGTAGAAAGTACAGGTATTTGTGTTCAACATGTAAGAAGTAGAAAGTACAGGTATTTGGGTTCAACATGTAAGAAGTAGAAAGTACAGGTATTTGTGTTCAAAATGTAAGAAGTAAGTACAGGTATTTGTGTTCAATATGTAAGAAGTAGAAAGTACAGGTATTTGTGTTCAACATGTAAGAAGTAGAAAGTACAGGTATTTGTGTTCAACATGTAAGAAGTAGAAAGTACAGGTATTTGGGTTCAACATGTAAGAAGTAGAAAGTACAGGTATTTGTGTTCAACATGTAAGAAGTAGAAAGTACAGGTATTTGTGTTCAACATGTAAGAAGTAGAAAGTACAGGTATTTGTGTTCAACATGTAAGAAGTAGAAAGTACAGGTATTTGTGTTCAACATGTAAGAAGTAGAAAGTACAGGTATTTGGGTTCAACATGTAAGAAGTAGAAAGTACAGGTATTTGGGTTCAACATGTAAGAAGTAGAAAGTACAGGTATTTGTGTTCAAAATGTAAGAAGTAAGTACAGGTATTTGTGTTCAATATGTAAGAAGTAGAAAGTACAGGTATTTGTGTTCAACATGTAAGAAGTAGAAAGTACAGGTATTTGTGTTCAACATGTAAGAAGTAGAAAGTACAGGTATTTGTGTTCAACATGTAAGAAGTAGAAAGTACAGGTATTTGTGTTCAAAATGTAAGAAGTAGAAAGTACAGGTATTTGTGTTCAAAATGTGAGAAGTAGAAAGTACAGGTATTTGTGTTCAACATGTAAGAAGTAGAAAGTACAGGTATTTGTGTTCAAAATGTAAGAAGTAGAAAGTACAGGTATTTGTGTTCAAGATGTAAGAAGTAGAAAGTACAGGTATTTGGGTTCAAAATGTAAGAAGTAGAAAGTACAGGTATTTGTGTTCAAAATGTAAGAAGTAGAAAGTACAGGTATTTGTGTTCAAGATGTAAGAAGTCAAAGTAAAAATGTGTTGTAGGTGTTTGTGCCTGAAACGCCTCCATTGGACTCCTTTGATGATCAGATTATCTCTTAAACACTTCAGGAGAAACAAGGTGTTTTCTATCAGTTATTATGCAGATTTAAAGGATGCCATTAGCAGATAAATCCCGAAGAAAATAAAAGTTCTGCTCGAGGATTCTCAGCCAAACAGACACAATCCAACTCTTATTTTGTATTCCCCTCTGTGGCCACCCACACCCACTTTCTCTTTCTTTAATGTCTGGTTGTGTCTGAGTTTGTCTGCCAGGTCTGTGAGCATCAGGAAAACTTATCACCGAGAACAGAGCTCCTTTCTGGACCTCAGACGCTTCGACTCTTTCAGCTGTTCGGAAGTGGAAAAGCACATTAGGGTTCATTGTGCCGGCACATTCCCGCGGTGGAGCGTTTCTGTCCAGCCTGACACACACACACACACACACACACACACACACACACACACACACACACACACACACACACACACACACACACACACACACACACACACACACACACACACACACACGCAAAGGAGTAAGTACAAAGTACAAATACTTCGTTACTGTACTTAAGTACATGTTTCTGGTATCAGTACTTTACTCCACGACTTATTTTTCTGAGGACTTTTGACTTTGACTTCTTACATGTTGAACACAAATACCTGTACTTTCTACTTCTTACATGTTGAACCCAAACACCTGTACTTTCTACTTCTTACATGTTGAACACAAATACCTGTACTTTCTACTTCTTACATGTTGAACCCAAATACCTGTACTTTCTACTTCTTACATTTTCCAAACAGGCTGGTTCCTTTAGTTTGAATGTGTGTTTGGTGGCGTGATCATTATTATTTAGAGTCATTGCGTGCCTATTGATTTGAACACGATCCGTGTATCCATCATTTCCAGAGGCCTGTACTACGAAGCTGGTTCAACTTAACCTGGATATGTTTGAGTTAGCCGGTTGGCCTAAGCCAAAACATACGCGCTGGCGCTAAGCTGTACTACGACGCCGGTTATCAAGTGGATCGCTCAAGCCAGCCTTGTCCTATCTAGTTAGGTGCGCGTTCACATGAAAGGTGGTATCTGGAGCATTCCACCAATCTCAAACATGGACAAGCGTACTGACAGCGCAGCGTCATACTTCCTGAATGAAAAGTGAACTTTAATATTAGTCAAATATGAAGAAGTTAAACTTTAAACATCCATGACTTAAACACTTTATCCAGGATAAAAGCCACATAGCTGCACCTGCAAGGTGAATACAGCTGGTAACAGAAAAAGTGTTTGAATGCGTACATTAACAGGTTTATGAAATCACTGCCCCGTCTAAGACACGATCTGACTTTCATTACATTTGACTCAAGTGTTTCGTCAACTTAATGTGTTGCTTAAAATAATACTTCTGCATACAGTATGTGACACTGTGAGTGTTGCACGGCCAGATACGGCTCAGCTGACTCAAATAAGGAAAGATATGATACATTATGATGTGATGTGATATGAATGATAATGGGACACATCGACGTCTGCACTCACAGTGCCGCGGACTGTACTTAATGTTACTCTGATCCGGTTACTTATGTCGTGGCAGATATTTAAGTAAGCTTTCTTAACTCTAATGTTATAATAGTCAGATTGCTCTGAAGATGGGAGGAGGGGATATTCTATTAATGTTCACGTTCTCACAGTCAGTTGATTTTTGCCGGCCGTCTTTCCTGCAATGGCAGTTTTTCTGTATTTCCTCTATCCTGTAATATGACTTGATCGCTTTAAACTCCGCACACTGAGCTCTGATTGGTCAGCAGGCGGTGCTTTCACTGAGTTGATCTCTTAGCCTGCAACCTAACCTCCTGCCGAGGAGGTTAGCCGCTCAGCATAAGTTACCATGGAGATCTAGCCCGCTAAAAAGAGAACCAGCGTCGTAGGACCGGAAAGCCCGAGTTTTCCCTGAAGTCAGCCGACTAAGCGAAAATCCGGCTTCGTAGTACAGGCCTCAGGTCTTCTCTAAAGAAGAGGGACCAATGAAAACGTTGTCATGTTGCCGTTGTTCAGCATGGAAACATTCATTAGCTAACAATGACATTATTGTTCTATTAATATAAAGGGAGGTCAGGTACTCTTTAAAACAGCTGCTAGTTATGGGTACTTTTTACTGAAGTACATTTCAAAGCCCTCTTTACTTTTACTTGAGTAAAGAAGTTTAGTCAGTACTTCTACTTTCACCAGAGTATTTTTAAACGCGAGTATCTGTACTTCTACTTGAGTAAAGGATGTACTTTAACATCTCTGCTCGCTTGTTTAATTCTCCAACGTGGTTTTGGAGGCCGGACACTTTCTTCTCCCCTCCAGGATACGGTTACGTTCTGCGACCACCTCGTGAGATCACAAGTAATATTCATGTGTTATTTAAACTAACTCGACTTGGAGTGGTTTGATATGTTAATTACACACGGAGGAAAGGGAAGAGACGATTCGAAACGTCAGGAGGCTATCAAGAAAACCCAGCATGAATAATGAAAAATACCCGAAGAGAAGAAATGCATTAAAAGCATATCAGTTGTTTCAAATATAAAAGTCTCTCTCGTTCAGATGTAAGCTTGTTTTAAAGGTGTTTTATTTGTATCTGGGGTGAGGTAGTAATGTTGTTTTGTCTAGACTCGGACCAGCTCCAGTTTCTCTTTGCTTCCTGCTGGGATTAGTAGCTCAGGCCTGTGACATCAGTGGGGGATGATAGTAAAGATATTCCACTATTAATAACATACTATGGAAAGGGGTTAAAAAATAGAATAGAAAGTATTTTTTAAATTACATTTCTTCATCTACGGGACATATATGTTACGGCAACTTTACACTTTCATTTTGGGTTTCAAATGAACACATTTAAATACTTTAATGTTGAAAAATGTCTACTTAATTATACCTGTATTCACCCTGTGTTTTTGCACCTGTTTATTTAAAGTGGTTTTTGTTTAGTTCCGGAACCCAGTGACATCACGACAGAACACTCCCGCTCCTATTGGCTAGCGCTAAGGGGGCGGGACATCACTGACCAATCACAACAGAACCAGCCTGCATCACAGGCATGGAGACATGTCCCAGTAGAGACACTACATGATTGATATTTCCCCTTTAAACTCAGTATTAAATTGTAGTTTTTTATACAATAAACCAGAGGGCGTCATGTTACAGTTCACAAATCAGTTTTATTAATTTAAACACAATCAAATAATAATGTCAAAAACATCTGTACACATATTTTGCAGACACAACAATCTTTAGCGTTTCACAATGAGGCCCACGAAGTGTTTCCAGTTTGCATTTATGATTGAAACATAATAAAAAAAAGCGTGCTGTATGAATCTATAAAACATTTCCTCTAGTTTACCTACCATTACCTTGATCTAGCAGCAACATGTAGACGTGTTGAGAAGACGGGGTGTTTGTGTGTGTGTGTGGGGGGGGGGGGGGGTCCAAAGTGAAATGTAAAAGGCCAACAGTGATCATGTGCAAAGGAGGAAACGTCAGAAACACAGCGAGTGTGTTCCCGTTAAGAAATTCACAGTCGCAGCACATGTCCTGTTTGTTCACACACCTCCCAGGTTTAGTGGCTTTTCTCTCGACACCACAGAAGAAGAAGAAGAAAGGACACAGAATGTAAAATAAAAACACTACGTCATACAAAATTACGCTCGCTGTACAAGAGTTGTTATAGCGCTTGTATAAAATATAATAAAACCTATTCAAGCCTGCTTTTGTGAAACTCAAATGTGTTGTTTAGTGGCTCCCAGGAGGCAGGACATTTTCACTGAAGAACTTTAAATAAACGGGGCTGCAAGCGGCTGAAATGCAGAAGGACCTTTCTGATCAAACTTGAAACGTGTTGCAGACTGAAGTCTCCACACCCATGCGTTTGGTCTGGACAAAACGGTTTATCACAAATCAACCTACACATTTGTTTACAGAGCAAACGGTGAACACATCAACACTTCCAGCTCCTGCGATGGGATGCCTTTTTATTATTATTGTTATTAATATTTGTTTAAACTTCAATGAAAAAGCCACCTTTCATACCTAAATGAATATAGGAAGGAATAGTCCAGTGATTACAAACTTACACACACAAAAAGAGTTCCTCTATACACGATTGTCTCAGCATTGTAAATAACGTTGTAATTTTCTTAAATTATTAGAAAACCCCTTTTTCTTTTCTCCTTCCTTCCTCGCTGTGGGTACTTTGTAAAAAGTCTTGTGTCGTCGAGGTACCTTCCCGCACAAAAAGTCTCCGCCCATAAATAACCAGCTCAGGACTCGTGGAGGAGAAGAAGAAGAAGAAGTCGAGCGACAGAAAGAGACGTCTCCAGTAGTTTTTTTTTAGTTTAACGTGGAGTAGCTCTCCTCACAGGTGTGAAAACCTCGAAAAGTCCCGGCACAAACGGAGGGCCGTAAAACACTTTGACAGCTTTTTCAGAGAGCGGCTCATTCACAGTAACCATGGCGAGCAGCTGCAGCGCCGTAAATCCACCTTTTCGCCTCCAGAGGAACGAAAAAAAAAAACAAGAGTTCAGGGTTAAGACGAAGTGTGACCGTATGTCAGCACATCCACCATCTCCTCTCCACAGGGGGGGCTCTCTCTGCAGGAGGTGAATGATGATGATGATGAGGATGATGATGATGAAGGTGGAGAAAGAGGCTCCGCAGTGCTACAAGTACTCCAGATCCAGAGCGTGGTGCAGGGCCATGAGGTCTGAGTGGCTGGAGATCCTCCAGAAGGGCATGTTGTGCTGGGGAGGGAGAGAGAAAGCACGTTGAGGGTCAGAGACAATGAGGCTGGCTTCACATGACTTCATTATTTTGTTCTGTGTCATTATATTCTACTAATTTACCTTTTTGTACTCAGATTGAAATGTCATTTGGAGCGCTTCTGTAGATGCCTAATTAGAAATAAAAACTTTAAACACTAAGTACTTGTTTTTTCCGTAACTCAAGTACTTTACATGTAGGGCATGTTTTGCTGGGGAGAAAGGGCTTCATTAAAACACCGGAACTGTTTTAAGTTCTTAAACAATGATACTGGCTTCCCATGCTTCCACAACTGGACGCTACTCAGTGTATTCAGTGGATATGAAGTACTTTACACAAGTTCAAATAAGTTATCTTTTGACTTTTAGCAATGCACCGACTCAGGAAGGAGACACGGGATAGAGCTGGAGCTTTGATGGCAAACACTGATGGGTTTATTTGGAGCTTCGGCCGGAGAACTCACAAAACAAGTCCAAGAGTCAGAGGTTCTGACTTCACGGTAGAGTTGCCACGTCAATTCTGAAGAGCTCTACCCCAGACCCGTGTATTAGCTAGTTCAGAGAGAATAATCCACATTGTGCATAACAACATAGAATGATAGCACCTCGATCAGCTGACGCCAGCAGGCAGGAACAGGGAGACAGAACACTGAGAGCACAGGCTACAGGTGCGTGTGCTCAGTCAGGACATGAACTGATCAACTGGGTCACAGTTATGGACCTTGGAAAATATTTCCCCAACAATATGCACATAAGCTACAGTGTAGAAACCTTATGACCCGAATCCTGGACACTACGTCGTTTATTCAGTGTGTTTGTTTCATAATATTCCACCATTTGTAAAGATTGTCAGCGTTGTACTTTATAATTCTCTCTTCTTACAGCATCACTCCAAACGACATTTCAATGTAAGCACTTGGTTTCTCCGTAACTCAAGTACTTTACATAAGTTAAAATAAGTTATATTTGACCCATCTTTGATTTTCTTTGCATGGGTTAAAGTCCCGTGTTTGTTTGAGCCATCAGATTTCCCCAGACTTAGATTAGAAATGTTTTGGGAGAAAGTAATTATTGAGCTTCTCTTGAATTGTAGATAACACCAGAGTTTTGTAGTATTGGAAACATCATTTATTTGGAGACCAGGCTGTGCTTTCAGCCCGTCTTTCCGCACGGACAAAACTAAGATTTGTAAATGTACAGCTAAAACAGTGAATGTATGACGTACTGTAAGTACATCTGTTTGTTTCACCAGGGAACACAATCATATCTTATATTTTCTATATTGTTATTTATTGACGAGTGTCTTTTCTCTTGGAGGACTGGAGGTGTGTGTGTGTGCAGGAAATGCTGTTTTCCTACTTAAACTTTTCGTCTCCTCATGACATGCCAACATATTTCTTAGCAAACTAATCAAAACCTTCTTCAGTGCAACACACAACACACACACACACACACACACACACACACACACACACACACACACACACACACACACACACACACACACACACACACACACACACACACACACACACACACACACACACACACACACACACACACACACACACACACACACACACACAGTACTACTAGAGTATGTTCTTCTATTCTGTATTTTTGTTTGAAAAAGCCAATAAAAAAGTGTTAAAAAAGGTTTAATTTCTTTATTCTCTGTTGTTTTTTCTCTTCTACAGTATCCATACCTGTACTTTGTAATTTCCCCTAAAAAAATGCTTGAAAAAAAAGCCAATAAATAGTGAAAAAAAAACCAAATGTGTAGTTTGCAGTTTCAGTGTTTCCCCCCCTCAGGCGTCTGCACTGTGTGTTTGGGACGCTGCGAGAGAGCTGTTGTTGCCGGGCAGAGTACGAGAGGAAACCTGAGTCTCTGAGCATGAAAGGAGCTTGTCAGGTAGATCCTCAGTGTGTGGAGCCCATTACTCCCCCATACCCTCCCCCTTTCTCCCCTCTTATCAAAGGTAAGGCCTCTCCCAGGAATATGTTCCGCTCAGAAGCGCCTGCACTGACCCCTGAACAGCTCTCTGCTTTCTGTTTTGTAAATTGTCTTTGCTTTTAAGTTCTAAAAGCTGCAGATGCTATCTCTGCCGGGTGACGGTAATAACTGAATTGTTTCAGCGCTTTTCTTTTCTTTTCTTTTCTTAAGAGGAATGAGTTTTTCTTTTGTAGTTCCTCTCGCTGTCAGCTCTGATGTGAGGCTCCTGACGGCTGAAATTGTCGTGTTATTCCACGTCCTCTCTGATGTTGACACAGAAACCTTTTACCGCATGGCGTGTCGTGGGACTCGCACTCAGACGCCTTATCCTCCCATCAATGTCACACTCCAACAACTCCACGCTGAGTGAAAATATTTGCATCTTTTCTCATCCCTGAGGACCATATTCCCAGGGTGTGTTCAGCTCTAAAAGTACAGAGATATAACTTTACACTGAAAGGTAGCTTCCTAATCGCTCCCCGTCTGTCTTCTTCTACCGAGAAACAAAAAGGGAGCTGGAGGCTTTTCAAACTCTGTGGCTGTCAGAGAAATATGCTGATTCATTTACTAATGAATATGTTTGGCTTGGTTTGCATCCAAACTGAAACAAGCACACGTCAGATTCCTCTCTCCTGATACTGCTGTCGGTGTGTTTGATCCGTCTGCTGACAGGCGTGACACGGCCGTACATATTCTAATTTCATCAACAATGATTTAAGCGTCCTTTATTTACGATGTGCCTGAAAGGGCTCGCTAAGCATTACATACACAGCATTCAGCGAGCGAATATATATAATTATGCCAGTTCTCCCGTTCGCTTTTTAAACCTGAGATGGCGGAGAAAAAAGCGCTGATTACACACTTCAGACTTTCTCTTGTGCTCGAACGCCTCATAAGAGGATCAGCTGGTTTCTTTCTTATAACACGGCAGGTATGTTTCATGCTCTGAACTCCTGACCTTATGAGGAGTAATCAACTATTTCTATGTGCTTTATTCCCAAACCTTCGTACCTTTTTCGAGCCTTGCTCCTCTTCCACACCATCTCCAACGACAATGTAAACAACTTTCCTCCCGAACCTCTGGATGACTCTCTCGAAGCAGCTCTCCTTCCCTGAAGAAGAGGGGGAGAAGCAGGATGTCAGTGGTGCGTTCAGGGGATGCAAACACAACGAGTTGATTCAAAGGCACAGGGTGACAAGAGCCCCCTTTAAAAACACCACACACACAGAAGAGTGCAGAGTAAACACTTTGAGGAGCCGTGATAAGATCAGAGAGCAGATAGAGGATCTGAAAAGCATGGACTCTGCTCTCCTGATGCTCAAACCCCCGAGACAAATGGACCTAAATCAGCTGAAATCACTGATGCATGCTGCAGGGTCTGGAGAGGACCCCTCAAAGTGACCATTTGTACATTTGTTATCCACCCTGTGTTACCCTGAAGCCTTTAAGAGGTCTTTCTGACATGCCTGATGCTGAATTTAAACTCAAACAAGGAGAAAAATCGCACTATTTAAAACACTTTCACCAAAAACAGTACTTACATGATGAGTTGTGGGTGGAAGTGTTTTTTAAAAGTAAGGTTTTTAATAAAACGTTGAAGTTGACGTTGACGTTGTGTGTGAGTTATCTGTTGTTATTTTTAAACATTATTGGACAATTCTGTCTATTTTCTTTAATGTAAAGTATATTGTATGATGCATTGTTTCCATTGCCATCCAACGTTTAACTATCGTGCATTTGACGAATAAAAGTAGCCTCTATTTGTGGGTGTTTCTGATTCATCTAGACATGCTAGAAAAGTTGTTCTGAATAATCCAAGGTTATAGGGAGTGGGAAATTGAGTTATTCCTTTAAGTCTACAAGAAGCGGGGGTGAAGCTTGATGTTTACTTTGCATTTGAAACAGTGAAGAAGGGGAGGACGGGAGGAAGAGGGGGGGGGGGGGGGGGGGGGGGGGGGGAGATTTGAGAAGAAGAAGAAGAAGAAGAAAAAGAGGGGGGTGTTGTTGCTGAGGAATGACATAAATGTGCAGAAGTGGTTTCATATGCAGAGCCTGAACAGGAGGCCCCGCTGCAGGGAAATAATCCCAGGCTGATTAGTCCGATTCCTTCAGAAAGGGAACATGAACGCTCTCCGGTGACGGTGTCTCCGACAAGAACACAGAGGTGTGTCTCTGCTCGTTACACTCAGAGAAACACAACAACAAGCACTCACACAGAGATTCATCAAATCATTCTGCACGACAAAAACTGGAAATCTTGCCCAGTACATGTGTCTAACATCTAGTCTAATATGTCTCTACTCCTGATATAAGACACAATAAGTTCAGAAGTAACACTGCAGTGAGATATCGGGTCTTTTTTTTAGACAATGCATCATCTTGTTAAGTCAAATAATCTTATTTTGAATTGTATCTTTTATTTAGATTTAATAGAAAATCACCAACTAACATCAGAACCAAAAACTTTTGAGTATTTGCTGATTATTTTGTAACACAACATTTCCTGATTCTGGTGAAATATAGTTCAAAATGAGTTCTCCAGCTAATTACAAGATCTGATTTATCTAAATATCCCGTCTTATTTCAAGGATTCTTACCAAGCTCATTCTCACTTGTTCTATTGGCAGATGTTTGGACTTATTTCAAGTGGAAACACCATGTTTTCATTATTGTTTAAGTTGTTTTAGGAGCAGCATTTCTTCCAGTGTGGAAGACGGTCCCCAGTCTTTTAGGACATTATGAGAGGTTGTGTCTCTTTGGGTTCCTTTTCTGTGTCTTTGTGGTTGTTTTGAATATTTCTGTTGTTGCTTTCTTTGTCTTTGAGGTCCTTTTGCTGATTTTCAGAGTCTCTTTGCAGCTGTTTTGCATGTCTTTGTACACATGTTGTGTTTCTTTGCAGTCACTTCTTTGAGTCCCTCAGAGTGTGTGTCTCTGCTCGTTTCACTCAGCGAAATACAACAGCAAGCAGAGAGATTCATCACATCATTACCTATTTTGGTTGCACTATAAATATTCTCGATGGGAAAGACGATCCCCAGGCCGTAGAGCAGGACTTTGGCGAGCGCCGGGATGAGCTGCGTGGTGGTGACCAGGATGTTCACACAGTTAGACCTGCAGAGAAACACAGATTCATCAGTCAAAGTCAAAGCGTTAGACGTGCATGAAAAGGAAGCATGAAGTGATGGTTGTGGGGCGTCTTTGGATTCATCAGATACATGTAATGCATTGTATTGTAATTTAATATAATATAAGGCAAGGCAAGTCTATTTATACAGCACTGCCGATTTTTATTCCATATTTTATTCCATTCCATTTCTATGTAAATACTGTTATTTTTTACTATATTTTCTACTGTATTTTGTATTATCTTGAATCTTTTTTTATAATTTTTTACAATTTTTAATATTTTTCTAGTTCTCTATCTGTGTTAAGAAATAGTGTAGCAGAAACATATTATAAAATGGCATTTAAAAACACTCATTTAAAAGCAAAAATCATTTTTAAAGTAGTGAGAGTTGCAGGTTTCTGGGAGTTTGTTCCAGATATTTGGAGCATAATAACTGAACTTCTCCATGTTTAGTTCTGACTCTGGGGACACACAGCTTTATACATCAGTGTGAGGGAGGACAAAGGAAAGTCTCTCTCAAAATAAGAAATCAGAGCACTGGCGTTTCCTCGGGAATACGGAGCTGGAATTATTTACACCACATGTGAGTTTATATACGTGCGGTGTGGGACTGGGTACAATTTTCCTCCGTGGAGTCCTACCTTGAGTGGATTAATGTTAGTGCTTTCAGTGCCAGTGTTAACCAGGAGTCCGTCAAGGCTTCAATTTCTGCTCGCAATTGCAACCAGGCTTCTCTTTTGGCCGGGCCCAGCAGACCTGAAACGCAAGGGGAACATTGTTTGGGTTGGACCGGCACTCCGAATACCGCTGAAATTTACAAAATTCACCCTGACCAAGTGTTGCGGCATGTGTGCTTTTAGACCATACACACAAAATATAAGAATACCAACACACACACACACACACACACACACACACACACACACACACTGTACTTTCTACTTCTTACATGCTTATCATTATTATTTAGATTCATTGCGTGCCTATTGATTTGAACACGATCCGTGTATCCATCATTTCCTGGTCTTCTCTAAAGAAGAGGGACCAATGAAAACGTTGTCATGTTGCCGTTGTTCAGCATGGAAACATTCATTAGCTAACAATGACATTATTGTTCTATTAATATAAAGGGAGGTCAGGTACTCTTTAAAACAGCTGCTAGTTATGGGTACTTTTTACTGAAGTACATTTCAAAGCCCTCTTTACTTTTATTGAGTAAGAAGTTTAGTCAGTACTTCTACTTTCACCAGAGTATTTTTAAACACGAGTATCTGTACTTCTACTGTAGTAAAGTGTGTGTACTTTTGCCATCTCTCTCACACACACACATTTTCTCCTCCACAGATCTGCATGTTGGGGATTACCTCCGACGTTATTTTTGTAGGTGGTGTAGATTTCTTTTACTCTTCTGTAGCGGAAAGCCAGTTTTCTCATCCAGTCCACGCCCCCCCGCACGCCTGTGGCCAGACATAGATTTGCGCTGGTGGCCGCTGCGTGGAAACCATCAGCGCCGAAGTTATACGTACTGAGAGGAAGACAAATAAGGAAAGAAAGAAAAGTTCTGTCAGCACAAAAAAGCACAGGGATCGGTTTATTCTGAATATGTGAGAATGAAAGTGCTGTACCTCAGATCCTGGCCGTTATCATCGGAGGAGACGTCGTCGATATGTACCTGGTCACACTCCTGTAACACACAGAATAAAAGATTTTGAGGAATGTAGGATACACACATCATTAAGGAAGGGTTTCTTTCTTGGTGAAGGACACTCCACACGTGTTTTCAGGTTAATTTCCCCTAGAAATAATATATTTATTCAGGAATTTGTGTTTTTTCTGGCGTGTGAGACTTAAACGCTCAATACAAATAACAAAATAAAAGCATAGTTTGTTGTATTTAGACGTACTGTATGGTGCAAAAACACAGTAAATGAAGCAGTTTGACGTTAAAAAAAGCTAACATTAGCTCAGCTTGTCTCTCTCATAACTTCACATCCAAACTAAAAACCTCCATCCAAGTTAAAAAGCACCAAGATCTAAAAAGTGTAGGGTTAAAATGTGGCTAAAAACAGGACAATAAGTCACTTTAGGACAGTTTCTAGCAGCTGATGCATACTTAAAGGAGGTACCCGCTCATCACAGGAGTGGAGACGATAAAAAATGACAGATTTCTCAACTTTTCCAATGTTTTCGAAGACTTCTCCTTTTTGACATTTTAATGTGGAAACGTTGCATGTTTTTACCCTCAATCTTCTCCGCCTTGACTTTCTCTCTGTTTATACCATTTCTCTTCATCTGTGCAAACCCAAAGTGAGCTCCTCCTCGTCAGAGCGCTGCCACTAGAGGGGTCTAAAGATATACCAGACACAACCAATTAGGTCTCAATCCAGAAACTCTAAACACTCCCCGGGTTGGCATGTGAAAGCTATGTCTGCGCACACCGATATATATACATACAGTAGAAGGAAGTACGAGGAGACTTGGCATTAATAGTGTGTGTGTGTGTGTGTGTGTGTGTGTGTGTGTGTGTGTGTGTGTGTGTGTGTGTGTGTGTGTGTGTGTGTGTGTGTGTCAGAGGTGGGAAGTAGTGGAGTACAAATACTTCGTTACTGCACTTAAGTACAAACCGATCTACAGAAGTTTAGTCAGTACTTCTACTTTTACCAGAGTATTTTTAAACACGAGTATCTGTACTTCTACTTGAGTAAAGGATGTGTGTACTGTTGCCATCTCTGGTGTGGTGTGTGTGTGTGTGTGTGTGTGTGTGTGTGTGTGTGTGTGTGTGTGTGTGTGTGTGTGTGTGTGTGTGTGTGTGTGTGTGTGTATCTCTAAACATGTGTTCCCTGTGGGGGTGCAGCCTCTTGGAAAGGTGGAGGCGTTCTGCAGCTCCGCACTGATTCCGCCGGTACGCAGTAACACAATCCAGACTTTCTGGTAAATGTAACCTACTAGAAAAATTGAACCTGATGCTAACCGCCAATGAAATTATGACCTCTGATTGCTGCTGCGCCACACAGCAACACGGCCTCGGGGCCATGCAGCCAGCCAGAGAGCAGCAGAAAGCAGACGAGAAATCTGTTATTAGTTTTCCGTTTATAGGGGAGCGAGTTCCTCCCCCTCTTCCTCCCTCTCACAGCGTCCTGCCTTGGCATTCAGACAGAGATGGCAAGAGTACACACATCCTTTACTCAAGTAGAAGTACAGATACTCGTGTTTAAAAATACTCTGGTGAAAGTAGAAGTACTGACTAAACTTCTTTACTCAAGTCAAAGTAAAGAGGGCTTTGAAATGTACTTCAGTAAAAAGTACCCATAACTAGCAGCTGTTTTAAAGAGTACCTGACCTCCCTTTATATTAATAGAACAATAATGTCATTGTTAGCTAATGAATGTTTCCATGCTGAACAACGGCAACATGACAACGTTTTCATTGGTCCCTCTTCTTTAGAGAAGACCAGGAAATGATGGATACACGGATCGTGTTCAAATCAATAGGCACGCAATGACTCTAAATAATAATGATCACGCCACCAAACACACATTCAAACTAAAGGAACCAGCCTGTTTGGAAAATGTGAGAGGTAGAAAGTACAGGTATTTGTGTTCAACATGTAAGAAGTAGAAAGTATAGGTATTTGTGTTCAACATGTAAGAAGTAGAAAGTACAGGTATTTGTGTTCAACATGTAAGAAGTAGAAAGTACAGGTATTTGTGTTCAACATGTAAGAAGTATAAAGTACAGGTATTTGTGTTCAACATGTAAGAAGTAGAAAGTACAGGTATTTGTGTTCAAAATGTAAGAAGTAGAAAGTACAGGGTATTTGGGTTCAACATGTAAGAAGTAGAAAGTACAGGTATTTGTGTTCAACATGTAAGAAGTAGAAAGTACAGGTATTTGTGTTCAACATGTAAGAAGTAGAAAAGTACAGGAATTGTGTTCAACATGTAAGAAGTAGAAAGTACAGGTATTTGTGTTCAACATGTAAGAAGTAGAAAGTACAGGTATTTGTGTTCAACATGTAAGAAGTAGAAAGTACAGGTATTTGGGTTCAACATGTAAGAAGTAGAAAGTACAGGTATTTGTGTTTAAAATGTAAGAAGTCAAAGTAAAAAGTCTTCAGAAAAATAAGTAGTGGAGTAAAGTACTGATACCAGAAACATGTACTTAAGTACAGTAACAAAGTATTTGTACTCTACTTCCCACCTCTGCATTCACATCAACACATCTCACTCTGAGCAGCTACGCGTGGCTTCAAGAGATAAATGTGACGTCAAAATCTGTTTCACTGCGTCCTAATCTAGAGTTTTAAAAGCCCAACAAAAAGCTCAGTCTCACCTGTTTAAAGTTACGTGTGAAATAATAATTTATCCTGGAAATTGAAGCTTAAAGACGAGAATTCCTGCGAAGAATCCCTCCCGATTTTTTAAGCTTTTAATTAAGTTTCATCCGGCTGTTAAGACAGGAAAACCCAGAAAGGACTTCCTTGTTTTAAGTCGATGTGAGCGCGGCCAAATGCTGACGTTATTGCATTCCTCTGTAATGCCGGAGCAGGGTAAGGGTAAGGGCTTTGGGACTGTAAACCTTTTTTATTTTACTGGTTCCCCTCTGAACAAATTTTTCATCTCCCTGGATTTGTGGGGGAGAGAGAGGAGGGGAGAGAGAGGGGAGAGCGACGTGAGGAGAAACTCAAACCAGCTGTTCTTTAACAGAATTAAAATCTTGACCCCGGACCCCGGCTCTAATGCAGCCATTTTCTCGCCAAGCCTCTCCCAAAAAGCCTCCAGATCCAAAGAGGAAAAGACTTTGACCCCTTGACCCCTTTCCCCTCCTCGATAAGGGGGGGAGGAATCCAAAGTGACCTCACATGGAGCCCCAATAATCTGTTTCCAGACACTCACCAGCAGATCTCTAATAGACGAAGAGAGCAGCAATTTGTCCCAGCTTGAAGACAAATGTAAGGATCATTTATGTCTGCAAATTATCCTCCAATGCAACCCAAGCCAGGGGGATTGGTGTGTTTAAATCTTTAAGTAGTGAGTGTGTGTTCAGGAAAACAAGAAGTGCACTAAGCCTCTCCTTTTGCATGCTTCCATTATCCAGTAATTGGTATCATTGGCTAATTGCACGCTGTCTCCTGGTTCCTTGTTTGATGACAATAGCTCGTTCCTATGTAATGTGTTTCTCAAGAGTCTGACAGTTCAAATGTGGGAATTCAACATTGCTAAGCTATGCTCCAGAACTCCAACATGACCCGAAACCACATAAATATGTCTCTGTAATTACCCCTAACTGCATATTATAATGGCCTGCCTGATTATGAATGATTTTTCAAGGACTTTTCCAAATCCACAGAGCTAATAAACACATGAGACCTCGACAAATGTGTTAATAAATTCAAACAGCCCAGAAAAATACACTTCAATAGCCTTGTTTCTGCGTGTTTACATAGTTCTCTAATCATGAGGAGTTATATTGCTTAATTAACAGCTGAGACCTCCACCTTTTTCCGTGAATAAAAAGAGGGGGTTGTTGGAAAAATGCTCCCAGAATTACTGCTCCCGGCTGGGGTTGCTTCCTGGTGTGTGTGTGTGTGTGTGTGTGTGTGTGTGTGTGTGTGTGTGTGTGTGTGTGTGTGTGTGTGTGTGTGTGTGTGTGTGTGTGTGTAGTACAGTCCGCCTCACACACACACTCATTAGGAGGCACTTCTGACGGCCTCGTAAACACCACAGAGTCACGGACGGTGCAGGTTCAACTCAGTTAAGCACCGTCGTGGAGTGGAAGAAAACTGTGAGGAGGGGGAGTTTTTCAACGTCACTCCAGCATGTTTGGATGGATATGTTTTGAAATTCCAAATAAATAGCGTTCAATGGAACAGATCTGAAGAATGCATAACACGCAGCAGCCAAGGACACATGTATTTGTCAGTAAGCACCTTTCAAAAATGCAGTGTATCGCTAAAATGTAAAGAAACACAAATGCAGAGATTCTCATTTGATTGGTTAATTTATATTTAGGGGAATCTGTATCTCCAATGTTGAAGCTCAACACAGAGCAACATTTAAGGGGAAATACCAGAACGGCTTTGAAGTGAATGCAAGGAAAAACATTGCAGGGACAAGAACGTAAAAAGTTACGTCTGTTTGAGGGAAACAAGATCACAAGATCTGCTAAAGATATAACTGAATCTATTAAATACGTAACGAGAACATTTGCACCGTGCACAAACTGATCCTCATGCCTCTGCTCCTTAAGATGTCTTAATGCGACAACGATTTAGAAACATCTGCACGATGCAATATCAAGTCAGACTTCTCAACAACTCGACTGTAACACATTTTCATCTAGAAATGTTATGAACTTGTGAAACTGAGCATGCCGGGAGATATCTCCAACATGCCCCGTCTTCTTCTTCTGTTCAGTTTGATGGGGGTTTTAATCCATATCTGTTGCGTTACTTGCATCGGTTGGACTGTCCCAGAGCCACTTTCTTCCATTGCCATTGCATGATGTGTGAAAAGGTGCCAAACGTGAATGTTCCTGTCGTTAAAGTGTTACATATTCCAGTGTTTCATTGGGAACTACATGCAGGACTTCATAAAAATGACACTTAAAGTGACTGATACATTTAGAAGATTATGAGCAAACCTTTATTTAGTCCGTGTTAGGTCAGGGTTTGGAGACGATGGC